CTGTCACTCCTGTCAGTTCTCGACCAACTTGAATACAGATAGAATAGTCCTCGTGAGAGACTTCTATGGAATAACTGTCAGAATGCTTTCTCGTGCTGGAATGGAACCAACATACGAGGTCTCATCGTTAATCAAAATTCGAAATGTGATGTGATTGGAAAAATCGTAGCACAGGAAATAAATGGAGTTTTACGTCCTACTTCTCTGCACCATGTGGGCTTATGGAATCGAGCAACACCGTGCAATGAGGGAACCAATTCACGAGACCTCAACGTTAATCAAAACTGGTAAAATCGTACCACAGTCGGTCCGAAATGAAAAAATGAAATGATAGGAGTTTAACGTCCTATTTTTCTTCACCTTATGGGCTAACGAAGACGGGCACCTATAAGATCAATGTCAAGAGGTTTGACCAAAGACCATGAAAGGACCCTCACCCATTCCCAAAAAGACAGCCTAAGAGCAAATCAAGAAATATTAGAAATAATACGGACCCTGGTCTAAGCAGCCGTATTAATTTACAGACCAATTTTCTACTTCTGGTACCACAGCCTGTGCTCGACACTCAGCTTTACCCCTTCAAAACTACCCCCCACCCCTCACCTCAACACCCCCTCCCCTTCATATCGCACCAATGATAATGTACAGACCAATTTTCTACTTGTATATTTGAAGAATTCCTAGTGTTGACAGCATTAATCTCGTACGGAATAAATCAATAAATTTTTTATGGAAATATGACAGAAAAAATAAAGACATTTTTTTATCTTCATTGGAAACCTGGTTGTTAAGCTCCAGATACTGAAGAAAATCAACATTGCTTCTTATAGTGTGATCTCATTCATACCATTACTGTAGACGCAATTATTTCAGATTCAAATTCACATTTATTGGTGTGACTACAAGCGCAAGAAATGATATAAATGAAATGAAATTGGGAAAGAAATGAAAATTTCAAATTAGATAAAATAACATAACCAAGTAACGCACGAAATGAAATGAAAGTAAAAAGAAATAAAGTAAAAATAAACGAATTTGAGATTGAAAAGAAAAGTTTATAATTAATACTCCCAACTACTTAAGAAAATTTTGCATCATATTTCATGTTCGATTTTTATTTGCTATTAAACAAACCTTTCTTGAAATTTATTACCCTGAACCACGATATCTCACAAATATTGTGTTTCGAATATTATACTTTAGTCGATCAAAATCGAAACATATTCCAAATCACATGTTTGAAATTGTAAACTTCGAGACGTAGATAAATAATTCATAGGTCGTACATGATATCTTTTTTTAAAGGGATAGCTTCGCCATTTTTTTGGGGATTGAATCGAGTCTTAATATATATGTAAATAATCTTCGGAAGTACTAGAAATGTAAGAAAATTGCATAATTCATTTAAAAATATCTCAAACTAGGAATTTCTCTTTCTATTTTATATATGATGGTTTTGGACACATGTGGATTCGATGGCCAAAATTTCGACGGTGAGCTGTGAACACTATTGCTGATTGGCGTAGATAAAAAATTACCATTTCTGAAACTAAGGCACAATTGGTTAAAAAATAAAATGGCGAACTTGTCCCTTTAACTGGGATATTTTTATAGTCGGCTCGTTTCTGGCGTTCATTGGGTTAATCTGTATGTATTGAATATTTCTTTATCTCGCCTTTTACGACTCTTATACAAGCTAGTAGAATATTAGATGGGCCATTATTACAACAAATATTACGACTATTTCTTCAGTTTCATGGTCGGTTTACTGACGTCACAAACCCCGCCTTGGTCAATTAGGCTGTACTGATGAGGATTTCGCATCCGAAACACACGATAACACATTATGAGCTTTAGTCAATTAAGGCTGCCTTGATGTGAATGTCGTATTTGAAGCAGATGAGCTCTTGTCAAATAATTATCTTCTTCACAGTGTCAAGCTATTACGAACATAGTCTTATACCTTGACTACAATAGTCGCCTTTCTTGTATCGCGGAAGTTTGTAAATTTAGAGATTTGATGTGATTGTAAGTCAACTGTAAACTGTTTGCCTTATTGTTTACATGTTAAGGACTCTGATTGGCTGTATTAGTTAACGTACAATCCAATCAAATCGCTGCACTACCAAAAGACACGATAATCCTTTAGCGACATTTAGGGTAGAGATCACACTTGATAACGGACCGCAATTTTATGGTATACTACTCCTTAGTTTTATTACACACGACGTTTCAACAATCTACATTGTCATCTTCAGGTGAAGTAAAAAAAGAGACAAGATATGTGACTATTGCATTCAAGATATTAAAAGCAGTTCATAACAGCTTGACATTGCGAATATAGTGAATATAACCTACATTAAGTCTATCTTAATCGCTCCTTGAAGATAAAATAATTGAAGATATTTCCATCATCTAAATTCTATTAAAAATAATTAGATTTAATTCAGTCTCAATAAGGTAACAGAGTCTATTTTTATCTCGATTACTGATAACATTTTCAAATTCCATCTTCTTCTGCTTGTTTTTTTAAGGGCAAATTTCTTCAGGAAATGTTTTTGTAAATTCCTCTCTTTTCAGCAATTTTTGGATATTTTCTAATCCATTTCACTAAGCTATATTAAGTGGTTACTTTCTCCAATGTCATCTTTTTCATTGTTACTATTTTTAAAAGCATATTTTCCGATCCATTTCATTTTTCCGTTTAATAATGGCTTATTTATTTCATTTCATTTGTATTTTCTTATCAATTTCATTCAATTCATAAAAGGGATTGTTACGAGGTTTTCTAAAATTTTTATGAGTATCGGGTACAATGATAGCATTAATTTGCACCATTCTAACTTTCAATCAGACGTCTGTGGTTCCTGCAATTCCACTAGCGTGGAAGCGACGTCACCCCTGCGAACGTTGCTTGTATCACATAAAACCTTTGCGGGGGAACGTCATAAAGCATTTAGTTTTAGTGGAATTGCTATTACCACAGACGTCTGATTGAAAATTGGAATGATGCAAAATGATACTATCAATGTCTCCGATACAAATACAAAATCTATAAGACCTCTTTACAATCCCTTTAAATGGCGAATTTTTCGTTTCATTTTATATTTTTGGAACCATTAATTTTACATTACATTTTACTTTTTTGTCATTTTTCGAAATTCTTTTAATTTATTCCATCTTTTGAATTTTTCTGATCTTTTTTTTTTTTTTTAGGAATTTTTCGATATTTTTCCAATTTATTTCATTTTACTCATGGCATTGATATTTTTTGCATAATTTACGCTCATTACATCGTCTGACAATGGACACTATTAAAATAACATGAACTGAAGTTTTATGTTTATATTTTCTGTCCCACAGTGGATTAACGAAGACTGGAAACGGCATACAGTTTTCAATGAGGGAAATTTTTCGGGACAGCCGCATTAGCCTTCTCTTTCACTATTTTCGACTGTGGTGCCACAACGTCTTTTGATTGGTTCAGTCCGAAGCACAAAACCGACCTACTAGTATTGAATGGCTCAAAGGATTCGAACACACCAGTGCTAAAACCCTGAAAATAGTCTTATGTGAACCATGCAGCTTGTTGCTTTAAAGGAACATCTGATTTTATCTTGAAAATAGCCTATTCGAACCACGAAATCAAACGATCAAAAAACTTAGTAGGCCTGCGAGGGGAAAAGTTTGAAAGATTCCAACCCAGCAGCGCCGATCATCTTGAAGTAAGCCAACATAAAAGACAAATAAATAGACCTCAAGCTAAGTTAAAAGATTTAAAATAATTAAATTAATATTTGATTAGGGAAACCAGAAATAGATCAAACATCTAATCATTAAGTTCATTGACAGTCCGAAACACACTGACTCTTACCTAGTCTCTGATAGTTATTATACTAGTCCGAAATGCTTACCTCAGCGGCAGTCAGGGTATAAAAGGAGGGGTTGGGGGGGGGGGGGGATTGCCCCCTTAGAAAAATTGTCTGTATCCCCATTTGCACCCCCTTCATTTCAAACAAATTAAGTAATATGCCCAAAAATATGTTTCACATGGCACCAAGTCAATTTTTCAAAAATAACTCCTGGTCTTGGGAGGCTGGTGCCGCCATTGTTCGAACTATTTAACTAAGATTATAATGTAATCTGTAGTATATCGCTACATCAGGTCGTCAACTAGAATCTTCAATTTCTACCTCAAACGTGATTTCTTCATTTTTTGGATTCTGACATTAAACATGAAACGAAATGGCACGATTTTGTGAAAACCGAGAGCCGAAATAATATTCAGATAGGAAAATTGATAGGTTGGGTGTTGAAGGGTCGAGCGGCGACTAGACCTGTGGTCTCGTTTTACCGAAATAGTTTCAGTATTCGCTTGATGTTTGCAGACGACTTCGTCTTGTAGAAAACAGACGATTTCCTAGTGCCGTCAAATTCATTTTCAAAATATTTTATCGTCTGTAGACGTTTGATGCCATTTAAACTTATATTCTTTGAACTCAGATAGATAAACATATATTTTTTTTTTTTTTGTATAGACGGCCTTGAAAGGTTTCGAGTACACGTACATAAGCCTATAAAACGCAAAGCGAACGTCCAACGAAATGTATATACGTTTACTTAAAGTGATACTAAGTCTTAGAATGAACATAAAATTTAAGTTCTGGAAATGGTCAATATGAGTATATATTCATCAGTCACCTTACCTGGTGTCATAAAGTTACAACAGAATCCATGTAAAATCTAGAAAATTGGAAAAACTAAGTAATTATTGAAAAACGCTTAATCTTGATATTAAAGCGTTTTTCAATAGTTAATTGCATATTTATGGATAATTACTAAGTTTTTTGGATTTATCGGATTATATAAGGATTCTGTTATGTTATTTATGACACCAGGTATATCTTCTGGCTCTTATTCGCCAAGTTAAAAATTCTTAAATTTTATGTTAATTCTAAGACGTAGTATATCTTTAAAAAATAAAAATGTTTCATACTTACGCTTTGAAGTCGTTTCTCCGTGCGAACAGCGTGCAGAACAAGAGCATTCCCTATAGTGGTCAACAGACACAACGAGGCAAGTAAAACTCCTAAAGGTATTGCTCTCCATAAATCCAAGGAAATGTCCTCCAATGCCGTGTCACTCGTATCATAAGAAATATTCCCAAACGTAAAATTCCATTCCCAGAAATCCAGAGAATCGTTATAATCCTCGGTAACGATTGATAAAGTCGCAATCCCCGCCATCTTTCATTTTAAGTTCAGATAGACACGAGTATTAGTCCAGCAGGCAACGTTTCAGTGAAATTCCCCTTGACCTTTATCACCAACGTTGCTTTCCTTTCTTTTCTCAGAAACATTTCCATTCTGAAAAATATAAAAATGTAATATATATATATATATATGAACGTCGAATGAAAATCACCTTCACGGTGTCAAGCTATTACAAACTGCGTCTTACACCTAGTCACCTTTCTTGTATCATGTCAGCTTGTCATTGATTTGGGTTGTACGCCAGCGAATACAGCCAATCAAGGCCTAAACATTCTTTCTGTTGATTGCTCTGATTGGCTGTATTCGCTGGTGTACCAATGAATAAAATCTTTACATTCCGTGATACAAGAATAGTGGCCGTTGCCGTCAAGGTATGAGATGAAGTTCGTAATAGCTTGACACAGTGAAAATGAATTAAGATAAGCAATGGATAAGTTTAACGCTTCAAGGACAAATAACAGGAAGGCGACATTTCGATGGCTTTTTACATTTTTCCCAAGCGAGATAGAATTTCAGTTTACACGTGAATCTGTGTTAATTTGTTAAAATGATTGTATTAGATACACGATACTCTATAATGCGATTGTGAAATATATGATATATCATATATACAGTTCGAATTTCAGTGATACATCTAATGCTAAATGGGATCCCCTGAAATAATCCCTCAGAAGGCGTGGCTGGATCGTTTCGTGAGGCTCTGACACCTCCCCCGCCCTCAATATAGAAGACTTCTGCCCACCTTAGCATCCCGACTAAATTATCAAAATGAACTATGGAATTTCAACCAAACTCGTTTCTGGGACACATGATGACTTTCTAGGACACATACTGACTTTCTAGGACATACACTGACTTTCTTGGACACATGCTGACTTTCTATGACTTACACTGACTTTCTTGGACACATGCTGACTTTCTAGGACACATACTGACTTTCTAGGACATACACTGACTTTCTTGGACACATGCTGACTTTCTATGACATACACTGACTTTCTTGGACACATGCTGGTTTTCTAGGACATATGCTGACATTTTGGGACACATGTTGACTTTCTAGGACACATGCTGACTTTCTAGGACATACACTGACTTTCAAGGACACATGCTGACGTTCTAGGACACATTCTGTCTTATAAACCTACCGAGAAACACGCTGAAACTTGCTACAATACACGTATTTAGAAAAAATTATAGTTTTTTGGTCCTTATTTCCCAAATCTTATTGGGCTAATGACGAGTCGACAGGTTTCGGATTACAAAACTGCGACCTTTGCAACTTGCTAGCTTATTATAACAGTCAAAACGACATGTCTTCAATGTATTAGAAAGTGTAATTCGTGATTTGCGTCTGATTAGAGCAACTACATCTGTCATTTCACTATCAATCTTTCTTATAGTTAACCTTCACAATTAGAAATATAAGAAATGGATGGAGTTTTACGTCCTAATCTTTTCAGTGGCGGCACCAGACTCCCGAGCCGGGGTACAAATAGGGCACAGGCTGACTCAACTGTCGAGGCTGAATTTAACATTGAGGAAATACCAATTTTAATACGATTGAGTAAGGATATAGTAACTACGACTACAATAGCCATAACAGCCGCAGCCATAACAATACGGAATGCTACGGACAATTACAGATTGCCACGAATGATGCCGGATCGTATCCTTTGCTAATCCGCCTTCAAATCTGTGAATGTGTGATCAAGGCATAAAGAGTTCTATATATGTGTCAGTAGGCCAGCCCGGTGGATTTAAAGTCCATACGTAGCATATCAACGAGCAAATTAAAAATTTAACTATGATGGTCGGTATCAGATTAGGTCTTCCCGATCCACTGATTCGATGAAATGAGCCAAAGTAGAGGGTGTAAATTGTGATACATATCAATGAGAATAATATCAATTGAAGTTGATGGTCGGTATCGGATAAGGTCTACCTGATAAACTGATTTGATAGAAAAACGTCCCTAGAGACCAGATTCAATGGTTATCATTCGAGACGATCACAAAGCAAACAATGAAAATTTTATAGACGTCAATTTCATTAACTACCTCTTAATTAAAAACAACCAGCTTTATACTGCATCGTGTCATTTATTAGAATTAGAATCAGCAACGACTTCATAAACAATTTATAAAGCATTTTATAAAGGGATGTAGCCATCTAAATTTAAATACCCGTAGTACTTTTCAATACAGCAACGACTTCATAATGAATTTATAGACTTTTAAAAGGATGTAGTCTTCTGAATTTAAATACCCGTAGTACTTTTCAGATTCAATACAGCAACGACTTCATAAACAATTTATAAAGACTTTAATAAAGGGATGTAATCTTCTAAATTTTAATACCCGTAGTTCTTTTCAGAATCAATACAGCAACGACTTCATAAACAATTTATAAAGACTTTAATAAAGGGATGTAATCTTCTAAATTTTAATACCCGTAGTTCTTTTCAGAATCAATACAGCAACGACTTCATAAACAATTTATAAAGACTTTAATAAAGGGATGTAGCCATCTAAATTTATATACCCGTAGTACTTTTCAGAATCAATACAGCAACGACTTCATAAACAATTCATAAAGACTTCATCAGCGATGACTTCATAATAAATGTATAAAGCATTTTAAAGGTATCCTGTCCTGTCCTATCTAAATTACAGATACGATATCAACTACCAACTGAAGTTTTCAAATCAGCATACCTTACAAAATTCATGAGCATTCTTTGTATTTAAGCATAGCCTAGCATAGAAATACTTAGCCTAGCATAGAAATACTTAGCCTAGCATAGAAATACTTAGCCTAGCATAGAAATACTTAGCCTAGCACAACACTGGTATACGAGGTATTTAGCAATTTTTCAAATGCTTCGAACCGAATAGATCCTCTTTAGAATGGCATGATTCAACCTCGTCCAAATACACTTCGTCTTTCTTCGAATGAAAAATAAGACCTATATTTCTATGCTCTGGCTTGCGAGCATACAGACATCAAAGAAAAATCACATAATCGTGTTTAAAAGCCATTTCGACATCATGATATGGTTTTTTTTTCTTTACTTGCAACGCGTGTACATTTACAAATTCAAATGTGATAAAAATCCGTACATGCAAAACAAAACTATTAACCTAAAATCGCGTTCGAAGTATGACAAAATTAGATTAATAATTGTATAGTAGTGGATTCCTCAAATGAGAAGTGTGTTAAGAAAAGAATTGAATCATGTTCTGCTTTATGTTCTACTGTTCTGTATCTTATTGAACTAATGAAATGAAATGTAGTTTTATATCTTACTGTTCTGTATCTTATTGAACTAATAAAATGAAATGTTGTTAGTATCCTACTGTTCTGTATCGTATTTGTATAATGAAATGGAGTTTTACGTCCTACTGTTCTGTATCTTATTGGACTAATGATATGAAATGGAGTTATATATATCCTACTGTTCTGTATCTTATTGGACTAATGAAATGGAGTTTTATATCCTACTGTTCTGTATCTTATTGAACTAATGAAATGGAGTTTTATATCTTACTGTTCTGTATCTTATTGGACTAATGAAATGAAATGTAGTTTTATATCCTACTGTTCTGTATCTTATTGAACTAATGAAATGAAATGTAGTTTTATATCCTACTGTTATGTATGTTATTGAACTAATGAAATGAAACGGAGTTTTTTGTCCTACTGTTCTGTATCTGATTGGACTAATGAAATGAAATAGAGTTTTTATGTTTCTACCTTATGAACCTTTTAACATTAGAACAGTAGAATGTCATATAGAGTGCAATGAGGGAATTTTTTTCAGGGCAATGGTGCCACAAAACTTAACTTTAGCTGTATACCTGCATCGCTTAGTCAAATCATTCATTCATTCTGTAAAGTATAAAGGAATTAGCTGGAATTACGCAGCTATATACCCGTATCCTTCATCACGCATTGGAATCATTCATTCTGTAAAGTGTAAAGGTTAGGTGAGGTAACTTCTATGACAAAATGAAAATTTAGACGAGTGTATGCCTTTAATGATAGCAGTGATTTACATGAACCATGATATATGCCGATAAACAAGATCGTCACGCTGGCTTAACTACTTTGTCCTGTCACAATGTTCAACTGTTTGGTATAGTTTTTAATAATGTTTAACTTAAATGCAGTTTTAAATCATCACGCAATCTCTGTTATTTTTTACTGCAATTTTCTGTTGGAATTTAGGTTCAACTCACTAACTTGGCAGTGTCAAGCTTTTACGAACTGCGTCTTCACAATATCAAGCTATTGCGAACTGCGTCTTCACAATGTCAAGCTATTACGAACTACGTCTTCACAATGTCAAGCTATTACGAACTGCGTCTTACACCTTGACTGCAATAGTCACCTTTCTTGTATCACAGAAGATTATAAATGTAGCAATTTGATTGGATTGTACGCTAGCGAAAACAGCCAATGGGAGCCCTTGACATAAAGACTGTGATCACAAAGCCATAACGTTTACAGTATTTATTTCATGTCGAGCGCTCTGATTGGCTGTATTTGCTGGTGTATACTCCCTTTAAATCGCTGCATACCGTGATACAAGAAAGGTGGTTTTCGTAGTCAAGGTTTAAGCACGAAGTTCGTGATGACTTGACCATTGTGAAGATGACGATACGCGTATATCTCTTTTCGAGGTTTTAAAGGTATGTCGAGTCTTCGATTACCAACTTTAGAACATCACCTTTTGAACTTCCCTTTGTCATAAGTGAATTATTTTGTGGAATATAACATCTCAATAAAAAATGGCGACTTCCAAAAAAGGAAAGATTTGATTGGTTGACTAC